CTTCCCAGGACCTGTTTGTTTTTGACTCACTTTTCCCCGACCTCTCTCTGACAGCGAAACCCCCTTCGGGGTGACAATTCCACGCTCCAGGGATGCAGACAACGTCTTTACCCCTCACGAGACAAGTGTACTCCGTCACGACTGTACAGGTAGTCGTTGCCAGCTATCAATGAATGCCCAACCATTGTTTGCACAATGTTTTCCAGTCGGCAATTTATGCAATTGCCCTGGACAGCCATTCACGACCAACCCCTCTTCGGCAAGACACCACATACTATCGGGATCCCTCCTATCTCTAATCTTCCCAGCCTCCCTATACCTCTTGAAAAGTTCCTCCACTCCTAACCTTACCTATGTCGTTTCCTCCCACACTAAGACACACTACTGGATTGGTACCTCTGACAAAACCCTGTCCTAACCTCTCAGCTACATGCCCTATCCAGCCCCAGGAAAACACACCCTAGTCCTACGTTTCTTATCTCTCGCACAAAAGCCCAATCTACAAACCTCACCTGGCTGTCCCCAACTACCACGACCTTACCTGTGGGCAGGGTTTGTACAACTGCCCTTTTCTCTCCTTGCTACATACCGTCCTGCCTCTTCTCTTCCTCGCCAGCTTCCTGCAGCACCTGGTAAGGGCTACTACACTCCACACCCTGGTCAGCTTTCCTGAGCCTGACCCTAGTCCCCTTGGAGACAACCACTCTCCGCCTGCTCCTCCTTCACAGGTGTCCTGCTGGGCAGGACACCTACCTGTAGGAGTTCCATCCTGAGGGCTTCATTTTCCCCTTTAGAGTGTCAACCTCACTCCTCAACTTTCCCAGCTGCCTTAACAGCGTGGCAAGGAGGAGTCGTCTTTCCCCTCCCCTCCTCTTCCCCAAGACACAACGATCCAAGGCGGCCATTTTCCTTGATCTCTAACGGAGCACTTGCAGGCACATTCTCCAAGCTGGGTCAGGTAGCAACACACACACACACACACACACACACACACACACACATATATATATATATATATATATATATATATATATATATATATATATATATATATATATATATATATATATATATTACGAAGATATATATATATATATATATATATATATATATATATATATATATATATATATATATATATATATATATATATATATATATATATATTACCTGTATGTTTGTGTGTGTAGTGTATGTGTTCTGTGTAGTTGTGTGTGTGTGTGTGTGTGTGTGTGTGTGTAAGCACAGTATATATATATGTATGTGAAGGTGTACAATATCTGTATATGTCAGTGTGTGTAGTAGTGTATGTATGTGTGTGTGTGTGTGCGTGTGAATCAGTGTTCTTATCTCACTTGTCTTACACTTTTACATAACCGTAATATATAGTGTTCTCACGACATAGATGTCATGTGACGAAAATATTCCCTTGAGCTCCGGAAATTCCTTCTTGAGATTTGCTATAGACAAGAGGATTGGGTTAGGTTTGGCTATAAACAAGAGGGTTTGGTTAAGTTAGGCTATAAACAAGAGGGTTAGGTTAGGCTACAGACAAGAGGGTTGGGTTAGGTTAGGCTAAGCTATAAACAAGAGGGATAGTTTAAGTTCGGTTATAGACTAGAGTGTTGGGTTAGGGTAAGTTAGGTTAGACTGTAAACAAGAGGGTTACGTTAGGTTATAGACAAGAGGGATAGTTTTATAATGTCAACTTATAAAGGGAAAAGAATTATGTACAGACACAGTACAGTAATGTATTTTGGTGTTTGACTTAAGATCTGCTATAGTTATTGAAGTGGATTATTTATAACGTGATTCATTAATGTAGTAAGTAAAAGTGTCTGGAAACTAGTGTTTGGTTGGGGAAAATATATCACCTAAACTCACAGAAAATTTTATTATAGTGATTTATTATTATTATTATTATTATTATTATTATTATTATTATTATTATTATTATTATTATTATTATTATTATTATTATTATTATTAGGTGCTGTTATTATTATTACACGTAGTTATATTATTATTGTTACTTTTTCTTTTAACGACGTAAAGGCAGCCATGATGTGCTTGACTTGTGGATATTTTTCATGCGAGAGATGTTCTTATAAGTGAGGTTTATCCCAGCTACTGTACAGTACAATTCTTGGTTACCTGTTTGTTCTATACAGTACACCATGACCATGTGGAGATCACTTTCTCTATTCCTTTGTGAACTAGTAAAACAAAATGTTTACACACACACACCAAAAAGTATCAATATGGAGGGGCTAATGAATTTCAGATTGAACACTGCAACAGCTACCAAACAGGGAGGTGTTACCGCCTGGGAAGATATTGGAATCATAATGTATTGTCTAATGGTAGACCCAGCAGCCATATGGCATCACAAAAATTGTGACCAAGTCCCAGGTTGCTGATCTGACTTTCTGCCTAATTTACACACAATTGCAGGATCTCAATTGTTTCTCTTACTTTGACAACACAACATACTTTACACCTTGATATTTTTTTTAATTTCTATTTATTTATGGTTCTTTATTATTGGTATTATTATTATTATTATTATTATTATTATTATTATTATTATTATTATTATTATTATTATTACAGTGTTATTATTATCATTATTATTTTATTTTTATATTTTATTTATTATTATTATTATTTTTATTATTATTATTATTATTATTATTATTATTATTATTATTATTATTATTACTATTATTACTACTACTACTACTACTTTTTTTTTTTTTTTTAACGTGGCCTCCAGCCTCCCCCAATAGCCACACCTTCGCCACCATTTATTTACTTTAATATTAAATATCCTAATACATAAGAAGCTATCCTATCTGTGTTAAATTAGTTGAGCAGCAGATCTATGCGACATTCAGTGACTGTAGCCTCATAGTCAATATCTGCAGCAGTTGTCGGAGTAGGGGCAGAAGCTCTCGTTCCCCTGAGGCAGAGCAAAGCCGACCGAAGGAGAGAGAAAGACAGTCGACATCTCATCCAGGCTGTAACAAACTTCTGGGCTGCTGCTTCTGTTCGGAGATCAACTCCGCGAGTCTGGCGTAGAAACATCTTGCACTTGGGCCCATCCCACCAGAGGTTGTGAACACTAGAGGAGTGAAGCTGCCTTGATCAACGTTTTGAATTCTCTCCCCATATGCCCTTCTCTTGTCGTTCTCGTTCCTCCTATGTGCAGCATCGAGAGCTAGGTTACGGTGACATGCAGCCATGGGATCAAAAATCCTGATGTCGAAGAAAGCTCGCTGTCCCCGCGTCCAGAATCCTCGAGCACTGACGTCCACGCGGGCTTCGTTAGATGTGTTTGAAGTCCTGTGTTGGAAGATCTCGCCATCCAATGGAAGGAGGGTCGGTTCTACCATGACGTCCCGGCAGATTTCCTTCAACATATTTGCTGTGAGATCCCTTACCTCGTCATGCCTCATGCATATGAAGCCCCCCTTCTTGCAGACCATGGCGTGATCGCCATCATAGGAAGAGCCACACACGCATTGGGAGGGCAAACCTTCTACTGGCCAACCGTACCTTAGAGCAATGGCATCTGTAAATTCTTGTTTATTAAGACTGAAACCATTTGCCCTTATCGGTAACGTAGTTAACCAGTTCGAGGCGCCCACCTCCTGCGCTATAGCTACTTTTTTT